AGGAATGATTTTCTTCATGGGGCGGCCAAATTCTAAATATTTTTTGGCGCTTCGCGCCACAGCCTAAATTTTTTGGCGCTACGCGCCAAAGCCTGAATTTCGAGGGTAAGGATAAAAGAAAATTGCAATATGTGCGGTATCGCGATTTTTCACGTTTTTTTCAGTTCTTTGCATCAAATTGCGCATTTTCCTTTAAATCTGAGGACCAAATTTGCGTATTTTGCTTCAAATCTGTGGGCAGATATCACGTTTTCTACAATTAGTACATGAAACCAATCAGTATCACATCCACAACCTTCCGAATGTAGGTACGGACTTCGAAAACCGAAAAAAGTATTTTCGGCTCATAATGATCAGGGTAGCATGAAACATGAACAAAAGTAGTTTCCAGAAAACTTTGAAAATTTTTGACTTAGAAAATTTTCGGTCCGAGTCATTCTCGATACGTACCTCTGAAAGCAAAGCTCCCGCTTCCGAGCTTGTATTGCGAAGGGTAGGCCTGCCTTCCGAGATCGCATTACAAAGGGGAACCCTCGAGTCCAAAATCGTATATCGAACTTCGAAAACCGAAAAAAATATTTTCGGCTCAGAATGATCAGGGTAGCATGAAACATGAACAAAAGTAGTTTCCAGAAAAACTTTGAAAAATTTTGACTTAGAAAATTTTCGGTCCGAGTCATTCTCGATACGTACCTCTGAAAGCAGAGCTCCCGCTTCCGAGCGTGTATTGCGAAGGGCAGGCCTGCCTTCCGAGATCGCATTACAAAGGGGAACCCTCGAGTCCAAAATCGTACGAACTTCGAAAACCGAAAAAATATTTTTGGCTCATAATGATCAGGGTAGCATGAAACATGAACAAAAGTAGTTTCCAAGAAAACTTTGAAAATTTTTGACTTAGAAAATTTTTAACTTTAAAAATTTTTAACTTAAAAATTTTTTTTCCCGAAAATTTTTTAGAAACCTAATTTAAAAGTTGGCCCTTTTTGGCCCCTTGCCCAGATTTCATGGGGGGGCGATGGCCCCCCTGCCCCCCCGCTTCCTACACCCCTGGTAACTACACTTCTGAAGCACTGTTGTATCAGTTATATATTTCTCTAGAACGCCCCTCCAGCCACAACATGACAGCCTAGACAGAATTACTAATGGTACCCGCCAATTTAGACAAAACTACCGCCGTGAAAATGTTTAACAAACACAAAAGTTGTCAGTTAAACTCCAATATGACGTCACGTGAGGTCACATGAGGTTCATATATGGAAGTTTTGGTATATCTTTACAGGCTTCAATGCAAAACAAGCATTTAACATAGTACTATTAATTATCGTTATTATTATATTTTACCAAAACCCATAATCATGGGTAGAGTGGACCGCTGCCAGTGTCTCTCTCTCCCAACAAAAGGAAATGATATTAATTTGATTGACCGTTCTCAAATGCAAAATGATACCGAGAATGAAATCGGTCGCTCGCTTTTCCCATTCATTCACGGCTTACGAAATGTATAAATAAGTTTCGATTGATTACATCAATCAGATGCTGTAAAAATCTCTTTGGGTTGCGTTCGGGTCGATACCTAGTATTTCGGGGTAAGGGACAAGGGTGGTAGTTATTACTTATTGAACAAGCTGAAGTTTATTGAATCTTCATTGCCGAGTACAGCTGCCTTTGGGTAGTTCTTCTTAATCTATTACAATTGTAAATGGATGGGAAAAGCGAGCGACCGATTTCATTCTCGGTATCATTTTGCATTTGAGAACGGTCAATCAAATTAATATCATTTCCTTTTGTTGGGAGAGAGAGACACTGGCAGCGGTCCACTCTACCCATGATTATGGGTTTTGGTAAAATATCATCTCTTTTTGATTATAATGTCAGGGTACTTTATAAAGTCGAAATATAAACTGATATCTTCATTAATAAGGAGGAAGTTTCAACGATTTCGAAATTTTTCCTTTAAAAACATTTCCTTGTGTTTATGGAAGCATATCGGTCGATCACTGACTGAATGTGCCACTTAATCCTCATTCAAGTTGGCATTAAATTCATATATAATGACATTAAACTGTCGTGGCAAAGCAGAATTTGTTGGAAATCACGAATGAGCAAAATTCTCACCTTTCGCACGTGCAAAATTTGAGCGGACGTTGCGTGCGCATCCAATATTGAATCGCCGTAAATTTTTGCATGTAGTTGTTTTATATATAGCTTGATAAGCATGCAAAGTTTCAAAGTATTTCAAGAAGAACTGTAATCACAACGGCACTCTAAAGTTGACAGAAAATGACGAAAACAGCAATTTTCAGTGATTTTAGCAATTTTCTATCAATTTGGGCGTGTCCCCACGTGTGCAACTTTTAGATTTTTAACTTTAAAACTAGCCTAATGCACAATTTATACCTATAGGAAGCAGAACTGAGCTCCACAACCCAAGGCATGGCCCAACACCAGAGAATACTAAATCGCAAAATTGACGTTTTTATAAAATAATTCTTCAAAAAAGCACAAACTTCAATGACGATTATCTTTATGAAGGAGCAAGCTAAAAAAACTTTCCGGTAGATTTTCAGAATGCTTGAACAATTATCTAAGGTAAAAATTTCCTCAGATTTTGAATAAAATTACTTCTTAATGGTTTAAAATTAATTTTAAAAGTTATTACTTTGTCAAAAATCAAGTTTTAAAAACGGTTAACTTGATGACGTCACCAAGGGGTGTTTATGACGTCAAATAATTTTTTTATACAATGTAAACTAAAGTGTACACAATTATTTGCAAGACCTGTGGTCGGAAATGGCTGTATCTTTTATACTTTTGAATCTATGGACACTTAAATACAGGCTACAATTGACTGGCAAAGCGTCTATCCCTGAATATATATGTATATCTATCTATGTCACGACAATCTGTCGTAAAACAGGGGTTCTAGAAAACCTATTTCCCGATGCTCCTGAAACTTGAAACTTTTTTTGCAGTCGATTTGGTCAACGCCTAGACGCCCTGAAAAATTTCAGATCTCTAACTCAATTTTAACATGGTTTTTAAGGCACCTGAATATGGCGATTTTGGGTTTTTTTACCGAATTTCGTATAACAGTGCTGGCGAGTATTTTATGCAAATTTCTTAAAAATCTCAACATAACTATTTTTTATTCCTGTCATCTTTGACATCAAATTAGAATGTTTTGAACTAAAAATAAATCTGCTGAACGACTTCCGATGAGTCTTAATGCCTGAAAAACTCCTGCCGGAGGCGGCGGCCTTCGGCCGCCGCCTCCGGCCGGAGTGCACGCTTCGCGTGCACGAAAGAGGCTTGTAACGTGTACCAAAGGGGGTATAATAGTAAAGGGGGTATAATAGTAAAGGGGGTATAATAGTAAATGGGGTACATAGTATACCCACAATAAATGCAACGGTCGTGCTTGCCAGCACTGTGATTATTGTCCTACCAAGTACCAGTATCAAACAGAGCCGAGACATTTAACAAAGTGTCGGTAACCAGTGGTAACAGTGTCGGTAACCAGTAGTAACAGTGTCGGTAACCAGTAGTAAGAGTGTCGGCCGTCGGGTGGTTACTATTTAATATTTACTACCTACTAAGCTACTACTCTACTAGTACTATACTGACTTTACTATTCTATTTAGCCTTAGGACAGATTACACAAAATGAGATGAACAGTCGACAAAATAGAATGTCGTAAATTATATTATTGTAGATATGACACGAAAAAAATGAAATTATGAAAACATGTACAAAGATTGAATATTAACTTTAGCACTCGAAAAATTGTGATCCGATCAAAGAAAATATAAATTAAATTTCGAAGAATGTAAACTGTATTTTATATGATCATATTTGCACTGTAACATAAGTTTTGACTATCAGCAAAGGATCTAGAACCAATGATTTACCATGGTTACCAAACTCGTATTTACTTATTTAGTAGTTCCCGCTGTCATCATTAGTATAACCCCGTTGAAAAAAGAACAATGCGTGTTCTGAGGTATTTGAGGTAAGGAAACAGCCGCAGTATTACCTAATCAAGGTCTGCCGTAAATCTTGGTTTAATTGTACAGTGTACACGTATTGGGTTTTATTTAGCCCGCATTTGGAGAAAGTGGTAAATCGGGGCGCACTTAATTATGGCGTGATAAATCGGTTGCGGTAAATCGGAACGAGGTAAATCGGGGTACAGTAAATCGGGCGCGGTAAATTTGAGCGTGGTAATTCGGGGTTTTGCTTATCGCTGTCATAAGATTTAATTTTAAAATTATATAAAATGACTCTTGCATAAAGATGTTTACTTTTAGACCATTCAATAGGTTTGTAGACACGCGCTTATAACGTGAAACATTTTTAAAAGGCTGTTTTTGACGCAAAATTTGTTTCGCGTTCGCGGTTGATCGCGTTATTCGAAAATGTGAATGCACGCGGGCATGATGCAAGTTGTTTGATGATTTCAGCTACAAAATTAACAATATTCGCCAATTTAATTTGGTGCAATAGTAGAACATTGTATCAGTAATTATGACCTAATAATATTAATATCAATAGACAAGTGACGTCAGAACCTATGACGTCACCATAACTTATGACGTCACCATAACTTATGATGTCATAACTTATGACGTCATATAACTTATGACGTCACATAACTTATGACGTCACCACACGCAACATTATAACTGTCTTCTAAAGCTGATCCCTCGAGTAACTGTTGGTTCCTCTAATATGGACTTGTCGACATGTTGTGACGAGCATGCACACTGTTACGGGTATAACACTAGTCTACACTCTACACTATAACATGACTACACATTAGTGTTTCTCTGGAAATTAAGGGGAACTCCCAAAAGGTGGAATGTGGAGTTTTGAAGAGCTCTCTTCTCCCAACTTGCAACTTGAGTCTCCAATATTCCCAGTGTAATAGCTTCTCTCATTAAATAGAAATATTGATTAATGAATAAAAAAATCATGCTAACTATTCAAGTATGATCACAAACCTATTAAACTGAGTTGGAGCAAGTGTTTTCAGCCAGCCTGATCCGTATTGACGTTCTAACATCATCAGCTCTCTAGGAGTCATCTGGAGATGCGAAATTTTAGAGATACAACATTTTAGAGATTAGAAACAGACGAAAGTTAATCAGGCGCGAATACCATGGTAACTGATAACCATGGTAACTGATTACCATGGTAGCTGATAACCTTGGTAACTGATTATCAAAGTAATTGATAAGTGATAACCATGGTAACTGATTACCATGGTAACTGATTACCATGGTAGCTGATAACCATGGTAACTGATTACCATGGTAACTGATAACCATGGTAACTGATTACCATGGTAGCTGATAACCATGGTAACTGATTATCAAGGTAATTGATAACCATGGTAACTGATTATCATGGTAGCTGATAAAAGTTGTTTACCTTTGTGAGATCTAATCGGTCCATCTGAGAGAGTGCAATGTTTCTAGAGGTGCCCCCGGGCATATCGTTATTACCACCAGAGTTCTGACTGAAAATATAGGAGGTTAATAAAACAGTCACAAGAGCGTCGTATAGTGTCTTATTTGTTACTTAGTGAAAGTCAGCTTAGTAATTGTAGCATGAGGAGCAATCAAATGTAAGGTTTCAGTAAGTTGTCAGCGTAAGTAATGTGTAATTCTAGTTGTTGTAAGTCTCGTACGGTAAGTCGTGTAAGTCGTATCTCTCCAGCGGATTGTTAGGAGCGTCAGTCAATCTACCGTTCCTTCTAGTTCTCCACAGTAACTTTGTTAAAGCTCCCCCCATGAACATTCCATTAGTGAAACTAGGGAAAAACTATTTTTTAACTACTAAATTATTTGTTGACAACTAAATTATTTTTTAACTACTAAATTATTTTTTAACTTCTAGATTATTTTTTAACACCTAAATTATTTTTTAACTACAAATTAAATTACGGTTGTCACACGAATCGATCAACCGACGCCCATGCGATTTTTTATCTAAAAATGCCGGGTAAATCGAAGTTATTTACTATTTATATTTAAACTCGTATAGCTGTAGCCGTATTGTAGCCTCTAAATTTTAAAGCTGATAAAGCTGTACAAAGTAGGGAAGTGTGGTCTGTATAAATACTCTCTGATTATTATATGACTATAAGGAATTATACTAATAGAATTAATGTTTAAAGTCTATTGTCTGCTTTAAAGCTTTATTTGAAGCTGTGAGCCTACTGTCTTGTAAGTTATCCTGTTACTTTGTAGGGCGTCCTATTGTTTTACTGTGTTACTTTTCTACTGTTCTACGGTATCATTGAACCGTATTTTGTCTAGCAAGAAGTGATAAATCTGCAGAATTTATAGAAATTCCACAGTGTCTGAGTATAATAATATTGGTAAACTAATTTCTACGCTCTGAACAGTGACACTAAAATATAAGTAATCCAGCGTCCTTTAGATCAACTACTACAACAAATAAAACGTGTGCTCCTTCATAAATACTACTAACCTCGCATTTCTCATCATTCTCTCGTCTCTCTCGTCTGAAAAAGAAAACACAATCTTAGAATAAAAAGTAAAAACTTGTTAGTAATGCTTAGTTAGTTCATACCTGCTTTGGTATATTAAAGTATAAGTAACAGTGAACAATCATAGCTGAAAAAGGACGATTAAAAGCTTGTTAGCTAATTAGGTAATTAGCTATTCAGAGTATTTGCTAATTAGCTGATTAGATAGATGCTACATTGAATCAATTATTTCATCTCTGTAACCAGAAATGAATCCATAACTGTATAATGCTGTAAAAGTGATGACTGAAACATTTTACCATCACAGGTTCGGGTTTCCAGCTCCATGAAGTAATAAAGCATTTTACTTCGGTCTTCGGAGGGCTTTTTACAGTGTAGTAAGGAACAAGCAGGTAAAAATTAGTAGTGATGAGTATATAAATCAAAATACTACCCATACGATGCTTGCAAGTGAAGTATACAAATAAAGGTAAAAACGTTGTAGCGAGCTGAATGATTACACTGAATAAATGAAAGTAAAAACGTTGTAGCGAGCTTTGTGATTACAATAAGAATATACCCGCCGCGCTATATAAGGTTTGTATAAGATAGGTGCTAAGTGCACCACCAATCCAATTAGGGATATTAATCAGAATTACACTTTCAGATATGAGGGAAGTTGTGAGATTTATATAAATGCTGCGATTAGATTTCTTTTTTGTACATTATTTTCTATGTTTCCATAGCATTCAAATACAGTTTTTCAAATTCCATGCAAATCACAGTTAGTTTACTTTTAGTAGGACGGTATTCCTGATTCTCAACACGGTATTCCTGATTCTCAACACACCTCTATAGTTTGTTAGTGTTCTCACTTCTCAACATGGTCACACATTCTCAACAGGGTCACATATTGGGTTAGTGTTCTCAGATACTGGACCATAACACGCTCCTCTCAGTACTATCTGACTTAGTATATAGCAGATGAGTAGTTGTAGGTTTATAACCTACCAAGACGCGCGCCGAGTTGGACTCGTCGGCGGTCTCGAAACAGACAATTTACGAATATCAACCGTTAAATGAGTAGATGCACATTTAACACATGATGATCACAACAGAACCACACTCAGGACTATTTCACTGTAGATTTCACTTTGACTATCATATTTCACTATAGATTTCACTTTGAAGCGTTTCACTGACTACTCACTTTTCCTCCCGCCAGGAGAGACACGATTGTTAGAGTCACGATTGTTGTCACGGTTACTTTGGTTACCATGGTGACCGTGACCACTACGCTCATCTCTTGACGACCTCTCGTTGTAGGATAGATCTCTGGACTTAGAAACTGTGTAAAGAAAAAGAGATGACCGCATGATAACATCTCACATAACTGATTCAAGGGATACAAGTTATAATATGCAGACGAAATAAACAACACAGTTTGGTAGTCTACCAGCATTTTCTACTATTTATGTTCCGCCTACTGGTTAGGGGAGAAACTGTGACGAATTATCAATTAAACTCATTTTTAATTAACAGTTGATATAAGTGTTGTGGTTTCATTAATTAACCATTACCGCTCAGGCGCCTTGGCAACATCCCAATTATTTTATAGTGTTTTAAATCTGGGGAAGTTTCCGTACTACAAAACATTTAGATAATTTGTGGTTATTTACCGTCGATATATAATTTGTGTACTATAATAATTGGTGATAATAAACTATAGAATTTAAATTAGGGTCTAAAGAAGTTAAATTAAAGCTGCAGTGTGATTTTATATTAGCTTAATGAAACTCTATGTCTTTAATGTAGAAATATTTTATGTATTGGTTTTGTTTATAAGTTGAAGTTGAACAGCAAACTTGCCACATAGATCAAGGTTCGGCTGGAGGATTAAATCAACATACTAGTGCTGTATAGCTATAAGATATTAGATATTAAAGAGATAAAGGCTGCTGTTAGATATATGCTACATTAAGAGTGGCAACAGTCACTCTGCTCTGTTTTAAGCTACTGTTAGTGCCACTGTTAGCTACACACAATCCACGTGGTGCCCATATAAGGAGCGAACTTACGTGAACCACCACCTCGTCCTCCAAACCCTCCACCTGGTTACAACATCTTCACAATGGGTTACAAGGGGTTGCTAGGGGTATTAAGGGGTTGCTACAGGTTACTAGAGGTTGCTGCTGGTTCCAGGTGTTGCTGGGGGTTGCTAGGGGTTGCTTTGGGGTTTTCTAGAGGTTGCTAGGGGTTGCTAGGGGTATTAAGGGGTTGCTACAGGTTACTAGATGTTGCTGCCGGTTCCTAGGGGTTGCTGGGGATGCTAGGGGTTGCTGGGGGTTTTCTAGAGGTTGCTGCCGGTTCCTAGGGGTTGCTGCCGGTTCCTAGGGGTTGCTAGGGATTGCTGGGGGTTCCTAAGGGTTTTTAGGGGTTGGTAGGGGCAACTAGGGATACAAACCGGACAATTGTCGGAAACGTATCTCACTGGCTTGGGTTACTATAAACTTCTGCTGTGTTCGAAGGACTCATTCTCTCATTATATTATAATTTCTGTTCAATTTGCTCACTTTCAATTTCACACTTCTCAAAGCCAGCACAACTACCACACTTGCAGTATCTCTACTATTTGATCAAATCAAAATATAAAAGCAGTATCTTCAGCTGTAATCAGATCCACGAATGGAAGGTCGGCAAAATCATTTTCAGCTATAAAATTCGTTAAAATCGGAGGTTGAAGACTCAATTGAAGATAATACAAAATGATAAGGTATAGAAATTAATGTCTAACTTTAGCTATTCAGTAAAAAACCTTTAAAATAAGTGTTTAGCTGCTTGCATATGTAAAGTTTGATAAACTATTATATAGAAAGGATCACTAACCTCCACTACCGTTGTTTTTGTTCGGAGCCATCCCCCTCGTAACATCGTGTGCTGTTTTCAGAGCCACTGCAGTTCTTACAGTACTCTGAACAGAAGCAGCTCCAACTGCTTTAGCCCCCGCTCCAAGACCTCCAGCTTTACCCGCTGCGCCGATACCGCCAGTTTTAGCAGCTCCCCCGAGACCACCTGATTTTCCTACTCCGCCTCCAAGTTTGCTTGCTGATGAGCCAGCTTTGGCACCAATCCCACTACTAGAACCAGCTTTCGCACCAAGTCCAGGTTTTGAAGCGCCCGCTAATCCCGGTTTCGCTCCCATCGCTCCCGGTTTCGCTCCCATTGCCCCTGGTTTCGCTCCCATTGCTCCTGGCTTGGCACCAGCAGCGCCTGGTTTTGCAGCACCCATTCCTCCAGGTTTTGCTGCACCCATTGCACCAGGTTTTGCTGCACCCATTCCACCAGGCTTTGCTGCACCCATTCCACCGGGTTTCGCTGCACCGATCCCACCGGGTTTCGCTGCACCCATGCCACCTGGCTTTGATCCTGAAGCCCCAGGTTTTGCTCCAAGGCCACCAGGTTTTGCAGCTCCAATGCCTCCAGGCTTGGCTCCACCCATAGCCCCAGGTTTTGCACCGCCAAGGCCACCAGGTTTAGCAGCAGACCCAGGTTTTACAGGAGTTTTAGCACCAAATCCACCTGGTTTTGCTGCGGATGATGACTTGGCACCGAAGCCTCCAGGCTTTGCTGCTCCGCCTGGTTTAGATCCTAGTCCTCCTGATGACTTGTTTCCACCAAGACCTCCTCCTGGTTTTGAGGAGGATGAAGACTGTTTCCCGAACCCTCCTCCGGGCTTAGAGCCCATTCCTCCACCTGATTTAGAACCCATTCCCCCAGACTTGGCACCTATACCGCCAGGTTTCCCCGGCTGCTTGCCGGCCGCCCCCTTGCCGGCTCCGACCCCACCAGGCTTTCCTCCTCCTTTAGCGTTCTTGTCATTCTTACCACCAGCTCCTAATACCATCACTTACATCAGGAGACACTGTGAAGTAAGGGAGGTTAATCAAACTGTTCAAAACATTGCTCCAAACGTATTCAATCAAGCAACATAAAACCGATCAAATATAAAAACGAGGAAGGAAAATTAAAACGTAATTGAGATTGGATAAGAATCACAATAGTTTTGACAAATTTATGTCAGCACAAACAAATTAAAAGCGCGTGATACGATATCAGCTAACAAGGAATAAGGATCCACTACATGACCAGTAACTATTAGTATTAATTATATTAGGAGGATTATACGATAGAACTAAACCAAGATCCAGCAAGTCTGTCAAAAGGAGTCACGTGACGCCCATATAAGGAGTTATGTATACCACGTGATCACCACGTGATGCCCATATAAGTAGACAAGTGTGTCAAGAGCAGTTGTGACAGCAATGAAGTCAGACCACAATGTGGAGTAGTGCGTGTTAGAGATACAAACCTATAAAAGTCAGCACTTTTCAGAGCATGTAAAAATTAAAACACGTAAAACGCGGAATTTATAGCGGTCTACCAATGGAATGCAATGAGCTACGTGTTTCAGCGAGAAAAGTCTGTATTTTGACAGGTAAACTTACTTACATGGTGGTAAGTGTGGTGGAAGCCGAGAAGTTGCTAATTTGATAAATTAACGAACTCACTACTTCGAGGCAGATAGAACAAACTTTGTCCTTACATATTCACACCTCACTGATAGTAATATACCGTACAACTGGCTTTTCATGCTAATTGGTATGTACCAGAATATAAACTGCTTTCGTCAAGTTACGGCAAGAAAAACATTCTAGACAACATTATTTGTAAATTTAGCTTAATAAAAGAAAAAAAGAGAATAAAATAAAAAAGCTCGATTTTGCTTTGCTCGAGAGCTGTTCAAAATTCAAAAGAATATTATGATCTAACAGGCAACTGATTATTGCGTTTAGTGTCTAGTGTCAACTTCCAATTGGTAGGATTGACTAAACGATAGAAACGCCCCAATATTAGCGGACTAAGGTACTGTATGATATGCTAACGTAGCAACCATTATATACAAACTCCGACGTAATACCCTACATAGTGTGTGAAATGTCAGACGTTATACCGAATAAACTAAACTAACTCAATCAAATGATATTTGTAAATAGATCAAAATGACAAGCCAACTATATTCTGGGGTTAGCTAAAGTATACAGTATTATATACTGAATAGTATATAGTATATAGTATGCAGTATTTAATCCCACTTAAACGTTCAAGGTTTAAACTGACAAATAGTATAGACGTTATAAGGTTCTATACAAATATTTGTGAAGGAGCTGTGACAGTTTGACGTGTTTATTATGAAATAATAATATATTTTAGATAAAATAATCAGCAAACTGGTAATATGATTTCTTAATGTGTCAATAATTCATTACTTTCGAAACTGATAACGAACACGGCAAGTAGTGACTTGTATTAAAATGTGGCATATTGGAGAACTGATGTCTGGCTCTCAACTAATGCCCAAACAACGTATACTTGTGAATTGCCTTCTCCCTCCCTATAATAATAACTCTATCTCTCTCTCTCTCTCTCTCTCTCTCTCTCTTTCTCTCTCTCCAGGGTACGACTGTTTGGTATATCAAGCTGTGGCTGTGTAGATTGAGAGCAATCCTCACCTAGACTATAATTCTATTAAACCATTACAGCAACAATGATTCAGCTAGAATTTAGTAAATAAAAAAATTTGTTAATGAAATAATACTCTGACCCAGGCATAACGCCGTGTAAATAGCTTAAAAGGGTTAGAAGGCCACCTGTTCTCCGAGAGAAGAACGCCAATCGAGTTTTAATAAAATAAATATTTTCATAAATATTTTCAAAATAACTGATCTTTGAAAAATCGAATCCACGATCTAGAGCCAGTTTGGACAACAACGTATTCGTAATTTCATTTTATTTCTACGCAGTATCCATTTGGAAATTGTTTCGCATACAAACAAAATGCTTTACTTCGAATTACCGTATAGTGCACACCATGCGTGATAATGAACAATAAGTTAATATTATATGAAGATAACTGTATAACTATTAGAAGCAATACCTGTTTACGTGCACAGATACAGACCCAACTAACTAACAGTGGAACTGAGGAATGTGGGTTTGATTAGTGCGTGTGTTTCCATAACAGCATAACATAATGTTTCCATAACACATAACGTTTCCATAACACATAATGTTTCCATAAGGAATGTGTGAAGAAGATCACCCCTCCCTCCCTCCCACATTGCTAGTGTGAACTAAGCCAGGGAAATGCAGAATGTAGTAAAGACTTTACAGTTACAGTTACATGGCGTGATCAGGTAAAACACACAAAACTGAAGCTCCAGAACTGAAGTTCCAGAACTGAAGCAGTGAAGTGTGCGACTGTTCCAATACTATTGCAGTGTAGTCAATAGCCAATAGTGCGTGCTCTGCAACACTCCAGCAGTGGAGTCAATAGTGTGCTCTGCAACACTGCTGATTTGGTGAGTAACTTCCTAATTAATTAGATACGTTTATTGTTGCACACACACTAGATATAATATGTAGATATTGCTAACATATCATTAATCACAAGCTGCAAGGCAAATGTTGGCGAATAGTGGCGAGTTTGACTAATAAGCTGACGATAAAGCGCATGTTCTAATGCTGGTAGCTCCATATTTGGTACAAGAGAGTCAATCATATCCTTATATGGGCATCACGTGGTCAAGAGACAGCCAAAAATCAAACGTAATGTTTTGACGTATCAGAAAACCTTTTGACGCACAGTTCGCTCACAATAAACAGTTGAACGTCTGAGCTAAGAGAAAATGTTCAAGTGTAGGTGATTGCGCGCTGTTTTGCATTACACAATATTGGGAGACCACGTGATGCCCATATAAGGTAGCTTGACACGTGATGCCCATATAAGGTAGCTTGACGCATGTATCCTTGTAAGATATTAGGAAGAGCACAATTTTCATTATGAGATTAAGGGAACACGGTAAACTTTGTTTTCTACAACAGGTTGATTGTTTTCAGATAACCCATCTGTGAGCAATTACAGCTGCCCTAATGGAGATTTTTTGCTGGACTGGAGTATGAATAAGGCAGCAGCGATACTGCAAGAGCGGTCGAACTGTAAGTTGACCCAGTAGAGGAATCTACGAATCTCTCCTGAGTAAGTGGCTAAACTAGCAGTTGTGTGATGACGGCACTTGATGCATGATGACGTCACGATGGCTAAACTAGCTGCTATCACAAAGAATGTACTTACGGGCTCGTCTCACTTTTAGTCCCACCCGCACTTTCCTCTCTGAGTTCCTCTTCATGTGTCTCTGTGTCTCTGTTCCCCTCCGTTCTTTATTCCCTCGCATCCAGCCAGGCAGTGACATTATCACTACTACTTGTACTGAGTACTAATACTAACAAGACAGCAAGATCTAGCTCACAAGCGCTGATACGTGTTTCTTACTGAGTCCCAAGTGTCGTGATGCAATAAAAACTAATAACTAGTGACTAACACTACAGGAAACTAACGGATTCTAAACGTTTAGCGAGACGTTTGGTTAATTGATTTGATGCGACGTATTCTGCGGAAGTGATTCTTGTTTTGGATTTAATTGTTGAAAACCATTTTCTTGGTTGCTTTAAAGTCATACGTTATACCGAATTAAGTGCGGCTGTAAATCGCGAGTTTTAATGAGAGAATCCCACAAATATTGGTACGTTTAAGTTAGACGGTAGCCAAAAAAACGTGTTCCAAGCCGTTTTACAAATCAACAGCAAAAAAACCATTCCTAATTAATACTGGCAACCACAACTTTTGGTAAAATGCCCGCCAGTATATATTGTATTCTATCAAGCGATACATACATGTGCTGACAGGAGACGGAGACAAACCAATAAAAATAATATCTTGCATCAAATACAAATACAAATATACGTGTACTCCACAAAGCTTATAGAAAAAATACCGCGAAAACGGCTACCAAATAACGTACTCGAATTTTTCAGAGTAGAATCCAATAAGGTATGAAATATGGCGTCACCATTATCAGTACCATGAGGTACATAATATAATTATGTTAGGAGCCATCTACTTAGGACGTTAATTCTTCCAAAATTTCCGGACGTCCTGATTTTCAGAAACCACCCCCCCCCCCCTCCCCCTGTCCGAATTTGTCCGAAATTCCAAAACCGCCCCCCCCCCCCCCCCTCTCGCTATTTGTCGGACGTCCTAAGTAGATGGCCCCTTATCTAAATTAATTATCGTCAATTTATGAGTACTACCAATTAATTATGTTTTGGGAAAAATAACCATTAATTTTTAACATCTTATCTTGATTTTTAACAGGTCATGAGCAATGATAACTTGTATTCAAGTATTACGTTAATTTTAAGTATTCTAAGATAATGCGGTGGTACTCATCCTTATGGAAAAATGATACAATAATCGTGGATAATTATGTAATTCTAGACAACAATAAGACTAAAATCTCAAACCGAACATTACATAACGATACAAATACCCAGATCAGCGGCTGTTAGTGTATATTCTTAAGTTATACAGTGTATTTATAGAAACCTATAGATCTAGACTTCGAGTAGCGAGATCAAGAGTACGAAGCATTAGGTTGCACCAGATCTAACGTTTTACTAGAGTAAATAAAATATATAACGTTAGATCTGGTTGATAATTAGAATATATCACGCGACCAGATCTAGATTCTAGCGGTTAATAATTAGAATCTATCACCTGACAATATATTCAGATGTATGATTTTATAGTTTAGATTGTACAGTGCCCGCATGATCTAACAACCTCCGTTTTAAAGAACGTAACCAAAGACTAACGAGCAAATTTCAAATAGCTATAGCCAGGGTAGGAAATCGGTTGAATGGTCGGTTCTATTTCAGCTGCTTATAATGGGTTTATTTAAATTTTCATTGGTCTCGCTAAAACAGTCGACAAAAGAACAGGAATTAAACAGGAACTAAACAGGAAT